TATTTATTTTTTGTGTGTGGCTATTTTAGCCAATAGTGAGTCTAGGAACCAGACATACCATCCTAGATTTGGATCAACAATAGAGTGTATGGTGGAGAGTGAAAGTGTGTATTATGAGACCCAGGTACAAAATAAATTTGAACCACACATTGGTGTTTCTAGGTAATTTTTGGATAAATTTTTCAGAGTTTGTAGTATTACTCTTTAGCCAAAAGCCAAACTCCCAAACATGGCCTAATTCTCACTTGTATACCATTGGGTCTTGAAAATGAGTCTACTTTAGGCTTATATATTATTTTGTTATCTTATTAGTTTTGGTTTTATTTTTTGTTTTATTAGTTTCTTGTTAATGAAATTGTGAGTTGATATATATATATATATTCAATCTTCAGTATTCTCTAAGATTTTATTTATTTTCTATTTTATGAGTTTATTGTGAAATTGTGACTTGATGTACCAAAAAAAAAAATACCTTGAGCATTCCTAATTTGAGATTTGACTTTATTTCCTATTTTTATTTATTTATTTATTTTTTCAACCATGGTATTTGTTGAGAATCAGTCATTATTAAGCCTTTATTATCAATATTCATTATAAATCAACGAGTCTAAAGAATGATTTTGTTGTATTCATTCTTAAATCAATAGATTCTAAGTTCATTACTACCTAACCATTGTTGAGTCTTTACTCTTAGTATTCATTGTGAATTAACGAGTCTAAATCTTACTTCTGGTATTCATTCTTGAATCAACAAATTCTAAATTCATTACTATCCAATCATTGTTGAGCTTTTGTTCTCGATATTCATTATAAACCAACAAGTCTAGAGAAAGATTTTGCTTTCGGTATTCATTCTTGAATCAATGAATTTTAAATTCATTACTACCCAACTATTGCTGAGCCTTTATTCTCAGTATTTATTGTGAATTAACGAGTCTATAGAATGATCTTAGTTTTTGGTAGTCATTCTATATTTCCTCATCATTTTTTTTTTTGTTATTGTTGAGCCTTTTATTCTCGGTATTCATTGTGAATTAACGAGTTTAGAGAATAATCTTATTTTAGGTATTCATTTTTTAATCAATGAATTCTAAGTTCATGAATATTTCGTCCATAATTTTTTTTTTTTGGATAACTTGGACTCCCACTGTCCACTAGCAGGGGGTCTTTGATAACCCAGAATCCCATTGTCTATTAGCGAAAGCTCCATACGAACTGATTCCAAGAAGTTGTTTTCAGCTTGGAGGTTTCAAACCTAAGACCTTTCCTGCTGTTTACTCTTTTGCTAGGCTTTCACCAGGTAACTAATTTAGAGGTACCTAAGAAATAATATGTGAAGAAATTTGTAAAAACATTAAGCAAAAACAAAAACAAAACAAAATAGGTTTGAAACCAAATTTGGTGAGTAATTTTTTCCAAATTTAGAGGTACCTAGGTTTAAATTTCTTCCAAATTTCTTCACAAATTATTTTTTTTAAGTATCTCTAAATTAGGTGTATCTAAAAAAGAAAAACTTTGACCAAAATAGGAAAAGAAAAATTCACTGCAAAACCAAAAAACAGAAATCAAATTACTAAACATAATTTGATGAGTAATTTATTCTCAATGAGCATTGCTATACAAGTCCAATAAACTCAATTTTCAAGTCTAATGATGTGGCAATCATTTAGAATATTTAAGGTAACACACTCTCATATCATCTCAATTATCAATCAATCATATCACGTACACATTATTGAGTTTAGAAAATAAATTTAAAAAATGAGTAAGTATATCATTTTCCTTCCAATTTATAAAGTAAAAATGTTTCAGTATGCCATTTTTCAAGTTCTCCCAGTTCCATAATATTAATTCTAGGGAAATATTATGGTACATACCACTGCACCTCATAATTAAAGAAAAAAATAACATAACTTTATACTTTTTGAGTTATAACTAAACTAAAATAAAAAAGTTATAACCAAATATCACATAATATTGTCATAACTAAAAAAGAAAATTAGTTATAACTAAAATATATATATAAATATATATATATATATATATAACTAAGAAGACATATAATACACTCTTTTTAAGGGGTGTATATAGTAAAATTTCTCTTAATTCTAACCTTTTTCTGTTTTGTTTTGTTTTGTTTTTTACCCGGAGACTAGAAATAATTTTGAGGATACATAAATTACTTGTCTTAAGACTTCAAATCTGTCACAAATGGGAAATTCTAATTTCAGGAGTGTATTATATGCATATGTAGTTATGACATTTTTTCTTTAATTATGATTATTTTTTTTAATTATGATATTATTTTAGTTATAACCTATGAATTCTTAGTTATATCTTATGCTGTGTTTAATTATGACAATTTTTTTTTTATTTTTTATTTATGCCACAAAAAGTATGAGATTATACTATTTTATTTTTTAGTTATGACCAATTTTTTCTTTAGTTTATGACATTATTTTAGTTATAACTCATAAATTTTTAGTTATGTCTCATATTGTGTTTAGTTATGACAATTTTTATTTATTTATTTATGACTCAGAAAGTATGAAATTAAAATATTTTAGTTTTGAAGGGTGTGTGCCAATTTATGACAATTTTTATTTATTTATTTATGACTCAAAAAATATAAAATTATAATATTTTAGTTTTGAAGGGTGTGTACCACGGTCCATCACAAATACACCTATAGTTCTTATTGTTTGCTAGAACGTATCCAATAAAATCTTGGAAATTTTATTTTCAACTCCCTTATCATCAGTTTTTAGTAGTTTAAGGATATAAGAAAAAAGTTTTTTGGTTCAAGTCCTCTAGGACTTCTAACATCACTTTTGGACTAAAGTACCCTAACACTAGTTTGTTATGGTTTCTTTGGAATGATTTAAAATTTTTAAAATTCAATAACTTTAGGAAGCAAAGTCTGAGAGATCTAGGAGGATGGAGGCCAGTAATTAGGAAGCAAGGATTTCGGAGGCAATCTTTCGATCCCCAGTATCAAGGATTGTTTACGGTTTTTGTGGATGAGATTCCCAAGTCCATGAATCCAAAGAAGTTGTTTGGGCTTTTCTCTCAGTTCGGAGTGGTGAAAGATGTGTATATACCCATGAAGAGAAGGAAGGCAACTGGATCAAGGTTCGGGTTTGTGCGTTTTGACTGCCCTGTGGCTGCGAAAGTGGCTGTGCAAAAAGCAAATGGACTATGGTGGGATAACAAGGAACTCAAAGTAAAGGGGGCCAATGAAAATTTATTTATTTTTATTTTCAAAATTTAATATTCATCGTGGATCTTATTTGATAGATCTCAACGAGACAATTTCAAAAATATAAATTTTACAAAATATGAAGTTTCATATCAAAATTTATTAAATTTTATAATTTTGAAACACATTTAAAAATTCAATTTGTCTACAGTGAATAAAGAAGGTGTTGAAATTTTATGATACCAATTGTTAAAAGGGCATTCTTGACATTTATGTTGAAATTTGTCCTTGTCTTCACGGAATTTCAAATCTTAGGGATTTTAGCTATCAAATAAATTGTGGTTGTCCTTAAACTCTTACAGTAAATCAGTGAAAAAAATTTAAAATTTTTAACACATGAATATATTATTTTTAAGTTCTAATTAGACAAAAAAAAAAAAAAATGGATAGAGGAGTATCTAATTCTTAATTGATGTTGTTAATAGTATTAAATTAACATAATGAGAAAAATTGAATGACAAAACTGATACAATTAAACATAGAAGGATTAAATTGACACAAGAAGTGAATTATAGAAATCACAGGTATAATTTGCCTTAATTTAAGATAAATTATACCAATAATCCTTAAACTGTCCCTCTTGTATGAGACCCAATCAATTATTATGTCTTTGTATGAGCTTATTTCTCTAAATGCTACTCTACTCATTACTAATTAGTTTTAGATGGGATGTGTCAAATAAATATAACAACATAGATGTCATTAATATACAAAATTACGTTTTTATAAATTAACTTGAGTACAAAAAAACAAGTCTACCGATATATATTTTTAATATTATTTCTTATTTCTTATGCCGGTAGAAATTAATGTTGTAATTCATGCTTTCCTTTTAATTTTTTCTTTTGTGGATAATGTGGATAATGCTATGATATACACCCCTTAAAAGGTGTGTATTATATGCACCATTGTTATGAAAATTTTAATATATGTTACATATTTTTTGTGTCAAAAGTTACATATTTTTTTAGGTAAAATTATGATAATTTGTGATTCAAAAATGAAGTTAGGTATTTTGTTGTAATGTTAGGAATTTTTGTAATATAGTTACATATTTTTTTTGTTAAAAAAATATTTAGATAAATAAATGTGTAACATTACCACAAAAATACTTAATATTACCACAAAATGTGTAACTTCATTTATGAACGATAAATTGATATAACTCTATATTTATTACAAAAAATTGTAATGTGCACCACAAAAATACATAACAGGTATAGAGTTTCCTTTTATTTTTGCAAATTACAAGCGTACGCCCTAAGGTTCGCTTAAAAAATGAATTACCCATTGTGGTTCTGGAAATTATATCTCGCTATCTGAGGTTTCTAATTTCATAACAAATTGTCTATTTTATTAATAAATTATCAAGTTAATTAATAGTTTTTAGTGATATCAAAAATTTATTTCAATTAATAATTCAGGTAAAATTTTATTATTTTATAAAAAAAAAAGTTAGGAATTTAACTTTTTCAGTTAATTATGTCAAATAAAAAATTCTGATAAAGAAATATTTATAATTTCTTAAACTGTAAGAAACAATCTATATTTTAATTTACTCTTTTTTTTAGTTCATATTGTTCGTTCATCAAGTCAAGAAATCTTTGATTTTTCATAGCGATTGTTCATTAATTGTTTTTAGGTAGTGTTTGGGAAGTGATTAGTTTACTTAATATTTTAAATTTTATCATGGAACATTAGAGGCTTGGGAAGGTCGGAGAAAAGGTCCAGGATTAAAAGAATGGTCAAGGATAGGCAAATTGATATACTTCTGCTGCAAGAGACTAAGAGAAATAATGTTCAAGATAGAGATGCAAAATCAGTATGGCCATGGGATCATATGGAGTTTTTGGCAGTGGATGCTGAAGGGAATTCAGGGGGTCTGTTGTGTATTTGGAATCCTGAGGTATTCGTTTTGTCAGATTGTTGCTGCACCAGAAATCTAATCATCCTATCAGGTACCACTCATGACCTGTTTGAATGTGTTGTTCTTAACATTTATGCACCGACTGATGCTGTTAGGAGAAGGAAGCTGTGGGATGTAATCATCAACCTAAAGCAACATTTCTTGAAGCCCTGGTGTATGGGAGGGGATTTCAACGAGATTAGGTTCATGTCTGATAGAAAAGGTTGTAGTAGGAGAGACAGAGGTATGCTAGATTTTAATAATTTCATTGACCAGTTGGCATTAGTTGATATTCCTCTGCTGGGTAGAAAGTTTACTTGGTGCAACTCATTGGAAGGTGAAACATGGAGTAAAATTGACCGATTTCTTGTGGAGCCTGTATGGTTGGAGAAATATTGTTTCAAACTTTGGGGCTTACCTAGGGGAGTGTCTGATCATTGCCCTTTGCTGCTTATGGAGGATTTGAGAAATTGGGGTCCCAGGCCTTTTAAATTTATAAATGCTTGGCTTCTTCATTCCAACTTTTTATCAACAGTGGAGAAGTGTTGGGTGGAATCCTTTGTCCAAGGATGGGCCGGGTACAAACTGATGAAGAAGCTCAAGTCCTTGAAATTAGAGCTAAAAAAATGGAACGTTGAAGTATATGGAAATGTCGTGAACTAATTGAAGAAGGCTGAAGATGATCTCCATGCTCTAGATATAGTAGCTGAAGTTCGACCACTGAGTACTCTAGAAATAATAAAGAGGAGGGAAGTGAGGAATCTGGTCTGGAAGTTTAAGAAGTGGAACGATCGGATTTGGCTCCAAAAATCAAGGTTGAATTGGGAACATAATGGGGATAAGAACACCAAATTTTTTCATATCATTGCTAGTAAAAGGCAAAGTAGAAATTTGTTGGATTCAGTTCTAGTTAATGGGAATAGATATGATGATCCTCTAGTAATTAAACAAGAAGTTTTCAGGCACTTTTCCTCAGCTTTTACTGAAACTTGGGTTTGTAGACCAAAATTAGGTGGCTCATTTGTGACTTTAAGTCCAGTTGAGGGTAGAGAGGTTTTGGAAGCTCCTTTTACCATGGAAGAAATTTGGAGGGTGGTGAAGGAAAGTAATGGGAACAAAGCCCCGGGGCCGGATGGTTTTAACATGGGTTGTATACAAAAGTGTTGGAAAGTGATGAAGGAAGATGTATTCCATTTCTTGCAAGAGTTCCACTCCAATGGCAGATTGGTTAAAGGTCTGAACAGTTCTTTTCTTGCCCTAATTCCTAAGGTGGTTAGTCCTTCGAGCCTTGGGGAGTATAGACCTATCAGTTTATTGAACCTCGCTTACAAAATCCTATCCAAAGTTTTATCTCGTAGACTGAGCTTGGTTCTGCCAAATATTATTAGTGAAGTTCAATCTGCATTCATAGGTGGTCGTCATATTTTTGATGGAATCATGATAGCCAATGAGGTAGTGGATTGGTGGAAGAAACATAAAAAGAAGGGGCTGATTCTGAAATTGGATTTTGAAAAAGCATATGATTCAGTTAATTGGAATTTTTTGTGGTCTATGCTATCAAATTTTGGGTTTGGGGACTTATGGGTTAGTTGGATGAAAGAATGTGTGACTACAACTAGAATTGACTACAGCCAGAATTTCTGTCCTTGTGAATGGTTCTCCAACGGATGAATTCTCTCCTAGTAAAGGGTTAAGGCAAGGAGATCCACTTTCTCCATTCCTCTTTAATATTGTAGTGGAGGGTTTAAATTTGTTGTTGGCTAGAGCAAAAGAATTGGGACTAATTAAGGGTGTTTCAGTGGGTCATTCCGAGATCCAACTCACACATCTACAATTTGCGGATGATACTTTACTATTTTGTGAAGCGGAAGAGGCAGAGGTGGTGAATATTAAAAGAATTTTGAGATGTTTTGAGATTGTCTCAGGCCTGAAAATAAATTTTCATAAGAGTGTTCTATGTGGAGTAGGAATTGAGGAAGCTCGTGCTCAGGTTTTTGCATCCAAATTCAATTGTCAATGCCAAAAGTTACCTATGAAGTATTTAGGACTACCTCTTGGGGCTAATCTCAAGTCACGAAAGTCTTGGCAACCAGTGGTGGACAAAGTGAAATCAAAATTGGCCCTTTGGAAAAGAAAGTTGCTCTCTTTTGGTGGTAGAGTAACATTGATTAAGTCTGTCCTATCCCATTTACCATGTTATTATTTATCTGTGTTTAAACTACCTGAAGGTGTGGCGAAAACTATTGATAGGTTGCAAGCTGCCTTTTTGTGGGGGAGCTCTGAACAAAAAAGAAAAGTACATCTTGTTAAGTGGAAGGAGATTATAACTAGCAAGAAGCAAGGAGGTCTAGGCATTGTGAATCTGAAAGAAATGAATTGCAGTCTTCTATTGAAATGGTGGTGGAGATATGGGGAGGAGGATAAGGCATTATGGAAGAAGGTGATTAATAGTAGGTATGGAGCCATTGGAGGGGGTTGGCTACCTAAGATGGAGCCTTCTGGGAGGGTGTCTGCTGTGTGGAATGGTATTCTACATGGGGTAGAAATACATCCAGATTTACATAATTTTTTCCTCTCAAAAGCAGAAATCAATTTGGGTGATGGTAAGCGAGTGTTCTTCTGGCTAGATAAATGGTTGAGGAATATGAAGCTTAAAGACGAATTTCCGAGACTGTTCAGTTTGTCTACTGAGAAGGAGGTATCCCTGGAATGTGTTGTACAGAGAAAGGAGGGTATAGGGGGCTGGCATTTAAATTTCAGAAGGCCTCTAAGGTCATGGGAAGAAGTTAAGGTTGTTAGATTATATGCTTTGCTTGCTGAGGTACCACCTCTGAGACCAACCATCCCAGACTCTCTTAGGTGGCTGAGGTCTTCTTCTGGGAAGTTCACAGTGGCTGAAGCAAGAGAATGGTTGGCTGCTCATCATGGGCCGAAGTTGATGATTCCTACACTTTTATGGTGTAATGTGGCCCCTCCCAAAGTTCAATTTCTGGGCTGGTTGATTTGGAAGGGTCGAGTTAAAACCACTGATTTTTTGCAAAGGATTGGTGTTCTTAGCAGCAGTATAAGCAATGTTTGCCCCTTTTGCAAAGCTGAACCTGAATCTTTGAACCATATATTTCTGATGTGCAGGGGCATTTGGGAGTCTTGGACTGAATTGTTAAATTGGTGGGATGTGAAATGGGTATTACCTGTTGCAGTAGTAGATTTGCTCCATTGGTGGATGGGTTTTAAAGGTAAAAAGATTATAATGAACATTTGGAATTTAGTACCAATGGCTATGTTCTGGTATATTTGGAAGATAAGGAATAATTGTATTTTCAATGGGGGTCAACCTAACCTAAAGGAGCTGAGTGAATCTGTCAAGTGGAGAGTGGCCCTATGGGCCAAATCCAATCTCCCAGGTATTTCTTACTCCAGGCATGATATTGTGCATAACCTCAGTCAGATTATAGCCTGCTGTTAACTGTGCTTCTAGCTGCGTATGTTGGTATCTGTTTAGTCTTAGTCACTAGTTCAGTTTGCTCTGATCTGTATCTGGTTGTATGCCTTCAGTTTTGCTTCTGATCTGGTTGTATGCCCATCAGTGATGTATGCCTTCAGTTTTTGCTTCAGATTTGCTTCAGTTTGTATCAGTGCTGGTTGCTAAGGGTATGCTGTATGCTCTGCTGTTTGTATGTATGTATCTGATCTGCTTGTAGGCTCTGCCGTTTGTATGTATGTATGCTCTGCTCTGTGTAGGCTGTATGTATCTGATCTGGGCTTCAGCTGTGCTTCAGTTGTTCTTCAGTTCTGTGTCAGTGTTGGTCCCTCACCAACGTTTCTGTTTGTGGTGCTGTGCATCATCCCCCTCCCAACTATCCTTTCTTGTCCCTTTATTGATGTACTATCTCCTTCTTGGAAGGTTTTTTCATCAATGAAGTTTTTGTTGATCAAAAAAAAAAATATCAATTTTTTATAAAATTTATATTTTTAGAATTGTCTCATTAAGATCTATTAAATAAGATCTATGATGAATATGAAATTCAAAAAATAAAAAAAAAAATTCACTAACCCAAGTCAATCTTCTTCTTTTTTTTATATACTAAAATCAGTTAATATTACTGTAATTGACTTTAGGTTTCATTGACAAAATTACTCAAACAGAATTGCTTATTTTCTCACTGAGAAATTTTCGAATTGTGTATTTTCTCTCAGAGAAATTTCATAAATTGGACAATTGAGAAGTTATTACATATCAGTTTTTTATAAAATTTATATTTTTAGAATCGTCTCATTAAGATCTATTAAATAAGATCTATGATGAATATGAAATTCAAAAAATAAAAAAAAAATTCACTAACCCAAGTCAATCTTCTTCTTTTTTTTATATACTAAAATCAGTTAATATTACTGTAATTGACTTTAGGTTTCATTGACAAAATTACTCAAACAGAATTGCTTATTTTCTCACTGAGAAATTTTCGAATTGTGTATTTTCTCTCAGAGAAATTTCATAAATTGGACAATTGAGAAGTTAGTAAAATTTCTTTAACTTTTGCAATGAAAATTTATTTATTTTTATTTTCAAAATTTAATATTCATCGTGGATCTTATTTGATAGATCTCAACTAGACAATTTCAAAAATATAAATTTTACAAAATATGAAGATTCAGATCAAAATTTATTAAATTTTATAATTTTGAAACACATTTAAAAACGCAATTTGTCTACAGTGAATAAAGAAGGTGTTGAAATTTTATGATACCAACTGTTAAAAGGGCATTCTTGACATTTATGTTGAAATTTGTCCTTATCTTCACGGAATTTCAAATCTTAGGGATTTTAACTATCAAATAAATTGTGGTTGTCCTTAAACTCTTACAGTAAATCAGTGAAAAAAATTTAAAAATTTTAACACATGAATATATTATTTTTAAGTTCTAATTAGACCAAAAAAAAAAAAAATGGATAGAGGAGTATCTAATTCTTAATTGATGTTGTTAATAGTATTAAATTAACATAATGAGAAAAATTGAATGACAAAACTGATACAATTAAACATAGAAGGATTAAATTGACACAAGAAGTGAATTATAGAAATCACAGGTATAATTTGCCTTAATTTAAGATAAATTATACCAATAATCCTTAAACTGTCCCTCTTGTATGAGACCCAATCAATTATTATGTCTTTGTATGAGCTTATTTCTCTAAATGCTACTCTACTCATTACTAATTAGTTTTAGATGGGATGTGTCAAATAAATCAAACAACATAGATGTCTTTAATATACAAAATTATGTTTTTATAAATTAACATGAGTACAAAAAAACAAGTCTACTGATATATATTTTTAATATTATTTCTTGTTTTTTATGCCGGTAGAAATTAATGTCGTAATTCATACTTTCTTTTTAATTTTTGTTTTGGTAATGCTATGATATACACCCCTCAAAAGTGTGTATTATATGCACCATTGTTATGAAATTTTTTAATATCTGTTACGCATTTTTGTGTCAAATGTTATGTATTTTTTTGATAAAATTATGATAATTTGTGATTCAGAAATGAAGTTAGGTATTTTGCTGTAATGTTAGGAATTTTTGTAATATAGTTACATATTTTTTTTGTTAAAAAAATATTTAGATAAATAAATGTGTAACATTACCACAAAAATACTTAATATTACCACAAAATGTGTAACTTCATTTATGAACGATAAATTGATATAACTCTATATTTATTACAAAAAATTGTAATGTGCACCACAAAAATACATAACAGGTATAGAGTTTCCTTTTATTTTTGCAAATTACAAGCGTACGCCCTAAGGTTCGCTTAAAAAATGAATTACCCATTGTGGTTCTGGAAATTATATCTCGCTATCTGAGGTTTCTAATTTCATAACAAATTGTCTATTTTATTAATAAATTATCAAGTTAATTAATAGTTTTTAGTGATATCAAAAATTTATTTCAATTAATAATTCAGGTAAAATTTTATTATTTTATAAAAAAAAAAGTTAGGAATTTAACTTTTTCAGTTAATTATGTCAAATAAAAAATTCTGATAAAGAAATATTTATAATTTCTTAAACTGTAAGAAACAATCTATATTTTAATTTACTCTTTTTTTTAGTTCATATTGTTCGTTCATCAAGTCAAGAAATCTTTGATTTTTCATAGCGATTGTTCATCAATTGTTTTTCGGTAATGTTTGGGAAGTGATTATTTTACTTAATATTTTAAATCTTTTTTTCTCATAAAAAAATATAAAAAATAATTTAATTGTGTGTTTTAACCTTTTAATAATAAAAAAAAACTAACACCCAAACGTTCTTAGTTCGGCCCTTTATCATTTTTAAATCAAAGGTTTTTTTTTTTTTTTTTTTTTTTTTTTTGAGGACCTTTATCATTCTTCAAATTGCAGAACCACTAATGTCAACGTCAGTACCCAACTAACCAACCTTGTCTCTCTCCGTCTCCCATCCTTTTATTCATTATTTCCCCTCATTTTCTTTTACTTGGGCTTTCTTCCGTTTTTGTTTTCCTTTGAGAAAGGTATTATCATATTAAACATTTCTGAACCATCAATCGGTCGATTCCTTCCTTGCCTCAATTTTTTATTTAAAAACATATTTTTGAACTTCCATTCAATTTTTACCTTCTCTAATTTCATAGTTTTGCTGCTTGTATCTTTTTCTTTTTCACAAAATAACAAATGGATCGATCCATCTATATGTATATATATGAGTGTGATTGAATCCCACTAAACATAATCTAATAATGGGCATGTACAATATAAATAATTACCCCTTGTGCTTATGTAGGATTTATTTACTCATAAAATATTTAATAATTGGATGTTGTAATCCAAGGAGTTTTAAGGAGGTCTTGAATTTCACTTTTTGAGGTATTCATAGGTGTTAGTTTAACAACTAACTATTAATTTTTGTTAAGAAAAACAAATTAATAATAATAATTGGATGTAGTATTTAATTTTTATGATTGATTCTGTATTTCTAATTATTTATTTATTTATTTATTAGAATCCATCGGAAGCGTTGCACAAATCACATTTCTTCAACATGTAATTGTCAATGATAGCTCTTTGTCAAAAATCTAGGCTTGAATATTGTATCACCATTGTATTCAATTTTTACTCCTACTATAGAGGAGCCTGACTCAAACAAATTATTATTATTATTATTATTTTCTTCTCTTTTTTTTTTTTGGTTAGCAAAGAAAAATGAAAATTTTTATTGATAAAATGAGCAAGAACAAGCAACAATAAACATCAATAGAAGAGAGAAAGTGCAAAAACATCATAGCCATCACTCCAAAATCCCAACTAGGTTGACACTAAAGAGGAAGCACAATCATTTGTTAGCACTAAACTCACTGATTGGCGAGAGACCAATTCAAAAGAGAGCCTTCAGCAACATCTTAAAAAAGTCGCTAACTAGCATAACAAGAGATTAGGTTGGCTTGCTTCCCATTAGTGGCGTTTGTTTATAAATGGCACCATAAATACCAGCAGACACAATTATATGCTGTTGTAATTGGTTTTTCTTGTAGTGTTTTTTGTTCCAAAAAAAAAAAAAAAAAAAAAAAAAAAAATTTGCTTCGTTTCCAGCCTTTTCCAAAACAATTTTCAGAAAATTCTACTTTCTTATTTTCCGTGTTTTTTTTGTTTTTCTACTGACATTTTTTAAATATTTTAAGCATTTTTTTACTTTTTAGACACACTTAACATAAATACACCTAAAAATTTTAAAAATTGTAAAAAAAATCTTTTAAAAATTCACTAAATACCAAAAATACAAAAAAAAATACAAGAATTCAGTACATTTTTTGTATTTTTATATATTCATTAATTTTTTAAAATATTTTTTCACAATTTTTTTACTTTTTAGATACATCTAAGTAAGGTGCATCAAAAAAAGTAAAAAAAATATTTAAAATTTAAAAAATATTCACTAAAAACCAAAAAACACAAAAACCAAAAAAGTCAACTTTCAAAAAACCTAATCCAGAAAACTCAAACCAAACACAGTGAATTGTTTCCCAAATAACAATTACAATTTGCATGTCACGAAGGATAAGAGAGATTTCCCAAATAAAATCATCCAGTGCGCATGCGCGCGCGCGCGCACACACATATATATATATATATATATGGAAAATGAGTGGGAGCACTAATTAGTGCTACCACTAATGATGTGGCAGTGGGTGGGACCCACTGCCACAATGTTTTTGTGCCTTGGTTTTTTTTTTTTTTTTAAAAAGTGGATGCCAACTCATTAGTGGTGCTTTAAAGCACCACTTTTAGTGGGATGTAGCATTGCTGTATATATATATGAGTGGTGATTCATCCCACTAATTTTTTGGACCACTAATAGCTCTAATGAGCTTAAAAAAAAAAAAAATCTTACAAACCAAGCATAACAAACTCACAAGGAAATTGAAATTAGGAGACAGATTTACAAAAAACAATTTGCAACTCTACACTCCTTTATTCTAACACCAAGAGCAGTATATACATATATATAGCTCATTGTATACACACTACATATTAATACCGTTTAATTTCCATTACCAGGACCAGCAATCTAGGGTGCGAGGAAGCCTGCGAACAAGCCCCATGCCTCTAAGCGGAGAACAATGACAGAGCAAATGAACCAGATGACGTATGGAAGCCAAATGATCCTTTCTGAGACCAAGACCGAGACAAGCGAGACCGGTGAGAGAGCCCCAATGATCAGAATAACATGGGAAATGATACGAACATAGTTATCACCGATAATTCGCTGCCCTTGAAGTTCGAAAAGCTCTATCAACAGTAGGACGAAGCTATAAATGCTTACTGACATCAAGAAAACTTGCAGGGTCTTACGGTGGGTTGTGAAAGGGTCAGCTGTAGTTTGAATGATGGCAGCCAGCAATCCAAGCAAGGCGAAGTATACAATAGCAGTGGATGCTATGAATGCTCTTGCCCTAGAGAAAGAATTTAAGATAAAATATGTATTAGACATATTGCATGATTCAATTTTTGTTGTCGTGTACCTAGATTTTTTGAGAAATTTATAGCGAAATAAAAATTTAATTATTGTAGGTGATTTGTTGAAAAGCTAAAAAATATGGCTACAAATGAATTTGGAGGACATATACATAGTCTGAGGGCAAATTCAAAGACAACATAAAATTTTAGGTCAAACCATAAAATAATTTGAAAATTCTAAGCACAGTCAGGTTTGGAGGAGCAGTACTAAAACTTAAGGCAAATTAGATTAGTGGCCCTTAAATTGATCACTTTTAACCTTTAATTTTAAATTTTGTGCCTATTTGGTCAAATTAATAATCTCATTAGTGCTTTTGAAGAAAAATAATTACTGAATTGGTTGTGGTTAACTCATTGAGTTAAATAAGTTTACAACTTTACTATTAAAAATATGACACATATCACTTTATATGCGTATTTTTTATAAAAAAAAATAAAAAATTAAAAGTTATAATCAATTATACCAAATTGAAACAAACTCATAAATTCATAATCAAAATCAAGTTAATAGAATTATATTAATCAAAATAACACAAAAACTTATAAAATACATGAACTACTGTTGTAATTTGTCATAAAACTTGACCATGAAGATGGCTGCCTTCAAAGAGTAGTCACAGAAAATAAAATCACTCACAGCTATCTTCAGATGACAAAATTGCTCTTCAACTATCCATATATATATATATATATATCAACAACCCATCAATCAAAACTCGAAAAAACACCTCTGAGCTCTCAACAAAAAAAAACAAAAAGTAACCTCTGCACTATTCTCGTTCCCTCTCTCTAGATCTCGATCCATTCTTCTTTCTCTCTCACCCATCTCAAACCTAGCTGATTTTTTGATATACTGTCTCAAACTTGTATTTTTTCAACTGTAAACAAAGACGTAGATTTGGGTGGGTTGGGGTGCAACTTTTATAGTTGTATTCTAGCCATCTCACAGGGTTTTCATAGGTTCAGTCGAACTCATGTTCCTTGAAATAGCTTTATTATAACAAATAATGAGACATGCATGGCTTATTGCATTTGAACTCTCTGGCCCCCAGTTCACCCAAAAAAACTCTCTGGCCCCCAGTTCACCACTTTCATCATTTTTAGATTATGATTCTATTATTATGTAATAGAAATGAGTAATGTTAGGCATTATTAAAAAAAATATTATGAAATGCTTCATGAAGATGATATTTTATTATGTGTAATTCAATGGTAAAGAATTTTCATGAAACATATATAAATCTTCCATTACAAAAATGGAACTGAGAGAATCAAAATCTCGCATTTGTTACCATTGCTGTGATGATAATTGAGTGGTAAACAAAACACAGTGGCAGAGCCACAAGGTGCCTAGGGGGGTCACGTGGCCCTTCTGGATTTTTTATTTTTATTTTTAACATGTGTATATATAAAATTTTAAACAAAAATAATATTTAGAACAAAATGTCAAGGGCATTTTAAAATTTATAAAAAAAAATAATGATTGTTTTGTTTAAAATAAAGTGATTATAACAAATTATATTTTTATGTATGAAAATTTTGTGAAAAAATCTCAATATAAAAGTAATATCCATCATTATTGATATGCAAATATAATTAATCTTACAATATATATGTAAAAATTACTAGAGTGTTAATTATATTTGCATGTGAAGTTCACCCTTCATATGTTGCTTTACTATTAATTGGTGATATTATATGTCAATAATGACGTGATATAACTATTATATGAAATTTTTACTCAAATTTTGTAAAAATTTAATTTATCTTACCATTATATAATTTATTTTAATGCGTAAATATATGTTTTTTTGTACATTATCTATGATACATTAGTTACACGCAATACTTTCTTTTTTATTTTACTTGAAGTTAATTGTAAAATTTTATGTGAAATACTTTTATAATAATTTATTTAAGTTTTTGTACTTATTATTAATTCAAAAATTATTATTATCTTCTTATTGTTGATTATAAAAAAAAAAATTAAATTATTATTATCTTCTTCCTGTGTCGAACACATGTTCCTTGAAATAGGTTTATTATAATATATAAGGAGATAGGCATGGCTTATTGCATTTGAACTCCCTGGCCCCCAGTTCACCCAAAAAAAAAAAAAAAACTCTCTGACCCCCAGTTCACCCAAAAAAACTCTCTGGCCCCAGTTCACCACTTTCATCATTTTTAGATTGTGATGCTATTATTATGTAATAAAAATGAGTAATATTAGGGAGTATGAAAAAAATATTATGAAATGCTTCATGAAATTTTTTCATTATTTGATTAGTGTGTGATATTTTATTATATGTGTAATTCAATAGTAGAGAATTTTCATGAAGCATATAGAAATCTTCAATTACAAAAACGGAATTGAGAGAATCAAAATCTCACATTTGTTACCGTTGCTATGATGATAATAGAGTGGTAAACAGAACCTCATAATTGAAGTTCATGCAGTTTTAGGCAACAGGTATATATATATATATTGTTCAAATCTTGTTTTCCGTGAATTTTGTTTTGTAAAACATGTTTTTGTTTTTGTTTTCAACAGATGGTCGCAGATTGCAGCCCAATTGCCCCGGAGGACAGACAACAAAATCAAGAACCTGTGGAATTCCTCAATCAAGAAGAAGCTCAAGCAGAAAAGCATTGACCCAAAATGGCTGTCTTCAAAGAGTAGTCACAGAAAATAAAATCACTCACTGCTATCTTCAATCTATCAATCAAAACTCGAGAAAACACCTCTGAGCTCTCAACAAAAAAAAACAAAAAGTACCCTCAGCTCAATCCATAGCTAACAACAAGCACCCAGAGAGGACTCATCCCTCCACAAAAATGATCCATACAACCCTAAGAGGGATTTGACTCTCCCGAGCAAAAATCAAAACACCAAATTTCCAGCATATTGAGTTTTGTGAAAATAAACACATTTTTTTATCAATAAAACTCAATTGTTAGTTATTAAATTAGTACCTATGAAAATTAGTTTTTCTACTCTTTACAAAGTACTGAAAACTTATCAATTCAACTTCTCCTAAAGAGTCTACTCTTTACAAAGTATCAAAAACTTGTCAATTCAACTCCTCATAAAGACTAAACTCTTAGGAAAGTCACCGTGGCCAAAAACATAATTTCCAATAACCAAACTCTGGACCGGACATCATACAATTAGTTCACCCAATCATATGCAACACACTCCCAAAACCATCAGTTAGAGAGATTCCAACATCGAGAAAACCACCAAACTGACGACCCGAACAACTACCGAAACAGCCACCCTTAAGCTCTAATTCTACCAGATTCAATCACATACAAGCTCTCTCTAACACTAAACCATCTGATTCTGAATCCGTTTTCTTATCACCGGCTCCCCGTGATCTCGTCACGGACGCCGGTAATGCCGTCAAATATAAATTCGGAGTATTCGAAACTTGTTTTTTGAAATGTAAAGCTTGGACAACAAAGAAGATGCAAGCAAAAGAAGAAATAACAGAGCAAAGAAGTCATAACAAGAAGTAAATAGTAAACTTATCTTACCGGGGAAGGGCAACGGCAGCCTCCTCTCTATTCTCGTTCCCTCTCTCTAGATCTTGATCCATTCTTCTTTCTCTCTCACCAATCACAAACCTAGCTGATTTTTTGATATAATGGTTTAAACTTGTATTTTTTCGACTCTAAACAAACTTTTATAGTTGCCCAGGAGACATGCATGGCTTATTTCATTTGAACTCTCTGGTCCCCCAGTTCACCCAAGGAAAAAAAATAAAAACTCTCTGGCCCCCACTTCACCCAAGAAAAAAAAAAAAACAAACAAAACAAAAAGTACCCTCTGCTCTATTCTCGTTCCCTCTCTCTAGATCTCGATCCATTCCTCTTTCTCTCTCACCCATCACAAACCTAGCTGATTTTTTGATATACTGCTTTTAAACTTGTATTTTTTCAACTGTAAACAAACTTTTATTGTTGGCCACCACATACGGTTTTTTGAATTGTTTGAACTGCATGGCCCCCAATTCACCCAAAAAAAAAAAAAAAAAAAATCTTTGTCCCCTTGAAATAGCTTTATTATAATGTATGTGATCTTAGTAAGGAAACTTGCATGACTTAAACTCTCATCTCTTTCTATTTGAATTCTTGACATTCAACTCTATTTTAAATTTTTAATTTTGAGGAGAAAAACATAAGACCCAAAAAAATGTTGCAACGTATATTATATTTAATGTGTTAATATATTATATTAGTTTAATAAGTCTCACCACTTTCATCATTTTTAGATTATGATGCTATTCCTATGTAATAGAAATGAGTAATTTTAAAAATTATGAACAAAATATTATGAAATGTCTTATGGAGATTTTCATCATTTGATTATTGTGTGATGTTTTATTATATGTGTAATTCAATGGTGGAGAATTTTCATGAAGTATATAGAAATCTTCAATTTCAAAAATGGAATTGAGAGAATCAAAATCTCGCATTTGTTACCATTGCTATGATGATAATAGAATGGTAAACAAAACATAAAATAAAAATATAACTATTATCGTCGTATTATTGTTAGGAAATATTCTTTCAACTATTGTTCAATGGGTGTTAATTAAAGTTTAAATAATTATATATATATTTATATATATATTAATGATTAATCAATTACGCAAAGTCAATTGGGACAATAAAGTTTCTCGTTGTGGAGCTACAAGACCAATATTCTTCCAACTATTGTTCAATGGGTGTTAATTAAAGTTTAAATAATTATATATATGTATATATATTAATGATTAATCAATTACGCAAACTCAATTGGGACAAAAAAAACGTTTCTCCCAGTTGTGGAGTTACAAGACAAATGAAGACAAATCAATTACTTCAATTCATAGTTTCTCCCAGTTGTTGGAGCTTCAAGAAAATCAATTCAATTCTTACCGAGTCTAATTATATTTATTTGAACCATTTGAACTTTTTTTTCCCACTGAATGAAGACAAAGATTTCTCCGAAGAAGCAAGAAAAATCGAACCCACCTTGAAGAAGGAGACACGTGGTAGAGAAGTGTGATCTAGTGTAACGGGGCAAACGTAATAAGTGCCCACCTGAATATGACCTTCTAGATACTGACTTCTCGCTCAAGGTACTCATCCCAGCCGTCCATCTTCATCAACAAATATTATCCGCTTCCATTACATAATCAATTTACCTCATTTTTTTAATTATAATTTTAATTTCTGGATTAATTTAGATATTCAAATTTTAATTGTACCAATTTTATTTTTGAATTGTTTAAGGTTTTAATTTAGTTCAATTAATAATGTCTATTTAAAAAATAGATTGAAATTAATGAATAAAATAATTTATTTACTCTCTTTAAAGTGATTGATGGTTCGATATCCAATTTGAAATTATTCATTTCTTTTAAATGAACTATTTTACTTTTGATTTTTGTCAAAATTTCTAATAATGCCATCAAGTAGACTCAGATGTAAAGAAATATAAGGACAAAAAGATGCACACGTAGGGATGGCTTCATACATTCCAAAGGTCTTACAAATTAATGAATTTTGTAATTCCTTTTTTCTCACATGCATGGATAATGATATAGTTAGCATTAATTATTAATTTTTACTCCAAAATATTTGGGAGAGGTGATTGAGACCCCCTCAAGCTCCCACCCCCACCACCACCACCCCCACACACACGTGGGGTTGGTGATTGGAGGAGAAGGAAAAAAAAAAATTGGCCAATCACATCGCAGAGGGGGTTGTGGGGGTCACTTCTTGTGGGGGTCCGGATCGTTTTCCAATATTTGGTTAGTGTAATATTGTTCCCCAATTTTTAAATTGTATTAATTTCTAATGTATTAAAAAGTATTTTGATTTGGCCTTCATTTATAGACACAGTTAAGATCAATGGTAAAAGTGGACATTCAATTAAAATATATATATATTCTTTTAATCTTTAGAAGTATGCAATATGTATCATTTTGGTTGCTTAATGTTACAATTAATATACATAATAATGTGAATTTCTATTATCTTTTCATCTCAAATTAAAACATGTTATAAGTGTATCTCCAAAAAATTCTTTAAATGAGAAACAAGAACAAGTTACAAGGCAAATTATATCAATAAAGAAAGGGAAAGTGCAAAAGTATCATAATGAGCTAAATGATCCCAACTAGGTTGGCACCACAAAACTCATCCTATCATTTGCTAGCACCCCCGAGTTGGTGAGAGACCAACGAAAAAAGAACAGACCATAGTAACATCAGAACGGCTACCCAATTCAGACCATCACCTTCCTTAAGTTGCCAGCAGAAGGCCTACTGTAGAACACAACAGCCATCCATACCCATCCACCTGCAGAACCACTTCCCAACTTACCCAAGACAAAGGCACACAGCAACCAACCAACCAAACCAGACAGAGCACCATCAGACCAACATCACATTGAGACTTGTTAGTTATTATAGTTAGTATTATCGTATTTTAGTTACTCTGTAAGAGGGTTAACTCAAGCTCATCCAATTGATTAAGCCCAATTGGAGCCTAGTCAAAGAGCCTAAAATTAGTGGATCCTAAGATATCACCATCAAATGGGCCGGATTGCTCTAATCTTGAAAGGATTTAGATCCACGAACCTAAAGACTTATTTGAGCTCGGATTCGAAAGGGTTTTGAGCAAACCTAGAGATCTGAAGCATTTAACTAACCAATACCTGGGTCAAGGTGGCACAACCTCAAGGATCCATCAGATTCGGCAATATCTGCGGTGAGGGGTCCTCTATACCCCGACCCTTTGGTATGATTGGGGAGCATTGGTTCTGTATGGCTAAGAAGAGGGGTTTACCGAGTGGTTGATCTCATCTTCAGGACTTTTCTCGTCCTCAGAGAGGTCACCTCTTTGTACAAAGTAGTAAAAGGAAATATTGTGACATTCCAAAAGTTTAATTAAATTAATACAATATATATATATATATATATAAAATAAATCAAAATATTTAATTTTATTGTATATGTGCTCAAATGTAATCTAATTTGAATTAAGGGGCATTGGTTTTACCAAAACATAACTATGGAATTATTATATTGTATGGGCCAAAGTAGAATTGGGCTTAAGTTGTATGAGTTGTCTACTTAGGAGCTAAGATCATCTTGGAGCAAAAGGTGGCAATTGATAAAGCTAACAACGTGGAGGATCTAAGGCCTAAGTAGTGATACCATATGGATAAATCCTCCATTAGCTTGTATGGGTCAGTACGTATGGTCATGTATATAAAGAGTTGAGGCAGTGGCAAGGCAACATAAACCAGAAAGCAAATGAAATAGTAAGTAAGGAGAGGAGCTCAGAGAGAATCAAAATAAATAGTAGGGATCAACATTAAGGTGATATATATTTTATCTTGAGCAACCATAAATTATTTTATAGTTTTATGAATTATTTTATACAAACCATATTTTATAAATTATATTAATATTTCAACAATGTTATTTATTTTATGAACCTTACTTGTCTAAAAAGAGGAACCCATGTATATAAACTATTTATAATTTTGGGGATTTGATATTTGATAATGTAATTTGTAAGTACCACCATGGATGTTCCATGTCTTAAGGGACTTAAATAACCATTAACCCTCTGATTAGTCACTTTAGTGACCTTCTGTTATGTTCTGTACCATGGTTATAATTATTTTGTTTATATGATTTCTGCATATTCAATTTCTGTCATTTAAAAGAATTTATTTGTTCGAATCAAACTATTCGCTGTTTAGATAATTTGTTTACCCTTATACTCTTAGTATAATATTCCACACTCACCATATGATTATAGTTGTTAAACCCTTTAACGTGATGAAAGTTAAGGAGGAATTGTTTTAACCCATAAAATAGGACCAAGGCTTGGGATAAACACTATGTTTTTTATTATCTGTAATTATTGTCTGGCCTTAGTAAATAAATAAAAGTTTCCATGCACGTTTTGACTAGAATAAACATTTATGTACACCTTTACTTTACTCTGTTGTGTGATTAATTAAATTTTATTTACTCCGCTACGTTATTAATCTATGTTACTAATTTGTGTAATTAATTTGTTCAAATTTAGAATTATTCCTTAGCAATTTAAGAATCGCCAAGTCACGACATCTAACTTCCGGATACCGGGGTTGGGTCGTGACAAGGTAGTATCAGAACAATGGTTTAAAAATAAATTTATTGGAGCATACAACACGCGTACAATTAGGAAGTAGAATAAGGAAAACCTTAGTTTGTTTGACACATTAGCCATTACATGTGTAGTCTCTTATTAGTTCCATAGCTAAGTTTGGACATCTTGTGGTATAAGAAATATCAGAGCTCAACTTCAGTGATTTATTCTGGTATGGGCTCGAGCCACCAAATCTTGAAGAGATTTTTGGAGGAAACAACAACTATGTCCTAGACCTACTAGAGGAGTGGAGAGATTTAGAAGACATAATTAGACATTCACATCTGATCCTTAATCGGCTTATGCGTAGGCCTGTATACTTACGGGCAGACCCAGTAGAGGTAGAGTTACTGTGGTGGAGGATTGACAGCGACCGCACGTTAGATAGGTACCTCAACCAACTAGAGTTGTGGGCTTTCATCACTTCTCAGTGGTACTATTGCCCTCAGAATTTGTGGCAAGAAGAGGAAATGCATTCTTCAGTAATATTATACGCACCAGTACCCCCTGTCCACAAGATATCATTAATGTCTAAATTGTTGACTTTAGTGATTTCATGACATATGTAAAGGTACCGATACGAATTACAGGACTTTAATTATGGGGATATGAAGCAGGCATTCCCATCTACAAGGTTCAAGTAATTTGGTTATGCTTTGGCATTGAACAAAGTGGTTGGAAATTTGAACACCATATGCAGCTACAATTTCCCTAGTTGTTTCCAAATTAGATCCCGAGAGTAAGAGCCCTTTTTGATGTACAATGAGCTAACCATGGCCTAGTTCTAATCCGTTTTTGACATAGAAGGGTTAGACACTAACTAGATGTAACTGTTAACTCATAGAGACGAGTAATGTACCAACACCTTGTGCATAAATAAAACCAGTGTTTTTGTGAATATGTAATGTTTCGTAAATTAAATAATATTCTGTAAATTAGCAATTATTATGTACAAATAGAAACTACATACTATTTTTATTAAAACTCTTACTCTGTAGTAATGACTAATGATGAGAATGGTATCGAATCGTTGACCAGCGGAATCGACCCAATGGAAAGAATCGTAGAAAAAGTTATCGCCAGTTTCCTACAGGCCTTACAAAATAACATAACCAATGGAATACTAGAACATCGAGAAGGGCGCATTATGATAAAACAGTTCCAAGACCTAAAACCTTCTATATTCATAGGAGATTCAAACCCATTGCTGGCAGAAGCATGGGTTAGAGAAATAGAAAAGATTTTTCGCATATTACCCTATACCGAAGCACAAAAAGTATCTTTTGCCACCTTCACCCTTAGGGAAGATGCCCAAGAATGGTGGCTTCTTACCTTGGAAAAAGAAGAAATCGTAACCTGGGCAAGATTTCTAGAAGTATTCTATGAGAAATATTTTTCGGACTCATTACGAGAACAAAAGGTGTCAGAATCTATACACTTGAAGCAGAGAACAGTGATGGTAGCAAAATACGAGAATAAGTTCACACGACTAGCATGCTTTGCAACATATGTTATTTCGATAGAAGCCTAAAAACCTAGAAAATTTGAAGAAGAACTGGAGGATGAGATCAAATGTAAGACTGAGGTTCTAAAATTACCGACCTATATGAAAGTCGTAGATCGAGCATAAATCACCGAGAAAGGAATTGAAACCTCTCATTCTGGGGGGATAAAGAAACGATTTTGGAAAGAATCGAGAGGATCCAATTTTGCACCACCAAAGAGAATGAATACGAGACCCATTAGCTCAAACAATTCGGCCAACCAAAACTCCACTATCCCTAAGGGTAGCACCATTCTTAATTGTCCAACCTGTGGAAAGGCTCATTAGGAATAGTGTTATTAGGCGATGGGAGCATGTTATAGATATGTGTAGACACCCCATTTTTTACTACCTATAAGACTTAAGCTCTTCATCCTGAGCACTCGATGATGAAAGTTACATTGTGTAAGTGGTTTAAATTCTCAACGAAGGAATCCGGTTTTTAGCTCTAAACAATCCCAATCTTCCATACCCACATTGTTTTTACCTCAGAAATTCATTTTTTAGCACTATGCTAACCTGCACTGAGCCTGAAACAGAGAAACAGGGGATCCACATTAGGGCCCAGCCGTGCCTCATTTGGGGCTAGCCGGGCTCCAATGTTTGGTCGGCAGAGTACTTTTGGTAGAAACAGAGGGCAATGGCTGAAGGTGAAACAGAGCAATTGCACAGAGGGCAAACAGAGCAGTTTTTGCAAACAATCTTCATTGACGCGCATGTGATCCTTGTGCATCTTCTTTTGTTTTATTATTATTGTTATAATTTTTGTTCATAATATTGTTGTAATTACTTTTCATATTATTGTCGTAATTATTGTTGTCCTTATTGTTGTTTATTATATTGTTGTGATTATTATTGTTATAATGTCTTTGTTGTAATATATAATGTCTTTGTTGTAATAAATTAGATAACTCGTTATTTATTTAGTATTCATTCGAAGTTGTAATAAGTAGTTAGTTTAGCGAATTCATTCATTTGATGTTGTAATAGCTAGTTTAAATTCGAACATTGATTTGGACCCTCTTGCATGAAGGCAAAATATGTAATAATTGTGTATGTCTTCCAACCCCATTTATTTCTTCCTTTTATTTACCCGCTTATAATGGTACGTAACATCATATTTTACTTAACATCTTCCATGACTTCTATCCATTTGTTTTGCATACATACGAGTTCGGCTTATCATACTAACCAATATCAATTCAAATTCATTAGTCAAATACATGCTTTACCTCATGCCATTGACTCACATGCAATGCTAGTAGCCGAGCCTATTAAATCGCATAATTGAATGTGTTGCATTAGTCATATCACATAGTAATGCATGCATTTATTCTAATTCATTTAAATTTCCTTTGGCTTGCCTCAGAGTACTAGGTGAGCACTTTGTGTTTTAGCATATTGCATTATGTGTTTGTGTTGCCATATCGAGCATATTTTCTATGAGGCTAGGTGCTTACGTGATATACCTGTTTGAATGCCGGTGGATGAAGGCCTTTTGCTTAAGTTGGAATAAATTGATTAATGTAAAATACGAGCTCACTTTTTCCAAGTGACATGTATTTCAAAAACACTTTTTTTCCAAAACAAACATAAAATCAATGCGTTCCAAATTTTGTAAAGTTGTCTATACTTGTGTGCATCACATAGTAAAATAGCATAAATAATCGAAACAAGAGCATGTAATGTAAATAGAAATCACATCATGATTAGTATAGGCCGATCTTTGATTGGGTGAGTGAAGTGCTCAATTCATGACCTTCCCCTCTCATACCCAAGTTCCCAAGCCAAGACACTTTGGTGATGACAGACAAATGGCCTTTGGCACGAGTCATGGGTTTCCTAAATTTCTCAAAAATATTTAGGTGGCGATGGTCCATTTTTAGCATTTTTGATTTAAAATCAATTTTTCAAAAGATTTTTCGAATTTGGACACATTTGTGTTTATATATTTCACATTACACTTGTGAAATCAGATTCAGAACTACGGGAGTTCGAACTTTAGGGCTAATCGTATCCAAAAGGAGCACGAAAAGCAAGCTACAGTTTCTGCCGACTCCGCTGGAGATTTAGAGAACTTGACTCGAACTTCATGATGTGACATTTTATCTACATATATATGTTCTTTGCATTCCATTTACATTGTTACTCTAAGTCACTGTGTTTTCCATCTGCTATTCCTAGACAGTTTGTTGGAGGCTTGCCCAAAAGCTTGCTAAAAGGCTGACTGGTCGTGAGCTCTGCCATGTTGGAAACACAACCCTTGGATCTGGATTACCGCCGTACCGCTTGATCCACCTTTCACTTCTCGGTGTTAGGTGTGAGAGGTATATTAGGTAGTCTTGCTAAGGTACCCCTCTTGACCATTTGGCCTAGCTGCATATAGTAAAAGACATAGTGACTGTTCCAAATTAGGACAAGATGCCACCCATACACAGGATGTTGTGAAACTCTTTGTTGAAGTAGTGCAACCTAGATCATGTCAAAATCTAGGACAAGACAACCCTCCCTCCTCATAGGGGTGTTTTGGTTCTCTTCTACCTGGTATGTGCTTTATAGTGAAACTGTACAGGAACACATCATATCAGTGGTACAAATGAATATCAGTTTGGGAACAGAGTTCAGGGGGGATTGCGATTCTTCAGTTGTGTGTTTATAAACTATTGTGAATTGGGTCAGAGTGTTGTCCAATTTTTTATCGTTGTTTTTCTTTTCTCTCTTTTGCTAGGTAGTTTACCATCATAGCTTTAGATAGACCCGATATCCCCCAATTTGTGTGGACTCGTTTCGGTAGGCTTTGCAAAACTCAAGACCTTTTTGGTGGTCAGCCAGTGTTAGTCTCTCTTCCATTGATTACTCGATGAAGAAGGAATAAGCAGTTAGCAGCACCAGCACAGAGCATTCAGCAAACACCTGTTCGTTTCCACCCATTCAGTTCACCAATACCTCACTCACCTAGATCTGCAATGGCACAGAACGCAGAAGAAGTTGCTAGCATGATGGCAGCATTCCAGAGAACCATGGATACCATAAATCAAAGGATGGTCGCACAAGATGAAATTATTGCTAATTTGCGACGCCCATCTAGGGCATCAGCATCCACTGTCCATCCAATCCCGGCTGCTCAGCTGAATCCTGATCCACCTCCCCCGATTGAAAACCCCCAGGTCCAGGATCTTCAGGAGATGTTCCCACCGGCTCTAGCTTACAGGCCTTTGGCACAGCCCCCTGCGGGACTCCTTCCCTTTGATATTAATGATATTGATCTGGCTTCACATGTGGGCCAAATACCCACATCTTTTCAAAAATCAAAGTACAACAAGTTTGGAGACAAACTTCTATTTAGAATGGGAGAAATGTGACACCCAAAATGTTTAATTAAATTAATACAATATATATATATATATATAACAAAATATTTGATTTCATAATTGTATGTGCTAAAATGTAATACAATTTGAATTAAAGGGCATTGGTTTTACCCAAACATAACAATGTAATTATTTTATTATTTGGGCCAAACCAAAACATAACCATGGAATTAGTAGATTGTATGGACAAAGTGGAATTGGGCTTAAGTTGTATGAGTTGTCTACTTAGGAGCTAAGATCATCTTGGTGCAAAGGGTGGCAATTGATAAAGTTAACAAGGTAGAGGGTCTAAGGGCCTAAGTAATGAAATACCTATATGGATAAATCCTCCATTAGATTGGGTGAGTCAGCACCTATGGCCATGTATATAAAGAGTTGAGGCAGTGGTAAGGCAACATAAACCAGAAAGCAAATGAAATAGTAAGGAGAGGAGCTTGGAGGGAATAAAAATAAATAGTAGGGATCAACATTAAGGTGAGTTATATTATACATTGAGTAATCATAAATTGTTTTATTGTTTTATGAATTATTTTAGGCAAATCATGCTTTATAAATTATATTAATATTTCAACTATCTTATTTATTTTATAAATCCTATTTGTCTAAAAAGAGAAACCCATGGCTATAAACTATTTATGATTTTGGGGATTTGATATTTGACAATGTAATTTGTAAATGCCACCATGGAGGTCCCATGCATTGGGGCACTTAAATAACCATTGGCTTTCTGATTAGTCACTTTAGTGACCCTCTGTTTGTCATGGATCCATTGACCATTTGTTCTGTTTTGTACCATGGTTATGATTATTTTGCTTATATGATTTCTGCATTGAATTTTTGTCATTTAAAAAATTTATTTGTTCAAACCAAACTATTCACTATTTAGCCTAAATAATTATCCATGGTAATTTGTATACCCTTTTGCTCTTAGTATAATATTCCTCAATCTGCCATGTACTTAAAGCTATTAGACCCTTTTAGGTGATGAAAGTTAAGGAATAATTGTTTTACCCCATAAAACAGGAGTAGGGCTTGGGATAAACACCGTGTTTTTTTATTATCTGTAATTATTGTCTGGCCTTATTAAATAAATAAAAGCTTGCATGCATGTTTTGACTAGAATAAACATTTATGTACACCTTTAATTTTACTCTACTGCGTAATTAATTAAATTATGTTTATTCGCTGCATTATTAATCTGCCTTGTTAATTTGTGTAATTAATTTGTTTAAATTTAGAATTATTCCCTGGCAATTTAAGAATCGTCAAATCACAACATCTAACTTCTGGGTATTGGGATTGGGTCGTGACAAATATTTCCCATGGCCTTGCACATGGGACTCCATCATTTGAGTTTCCTATATATAGATCACCCCCCATAGCTTTAAAGGGAGGATTTTAGAGAGAGAGAGAGAGAGAGAGGGCCTTTGGGAGTCCTTATTTTCCTTTCTTAAAGAGTGAATGTGGGATCTATGGGAGCTTGCCATGATTATCTCTCTCTAGTTTCTTTGTCCTCTTCTTCACCCAACATTTTCTTCCCATCATCTTTTTTCTATGTGAGTTCCCATTAGTTGTGATCATTGAAGATTAATCTCTCAATATTTTTTTAGGAGATTT